TTCTGACCTGGTTTGACCCCGATCATTCGCACGGCGTGTGCCGCCACAGCAAGGGGCTCGGCGAGGACTCCTTCCTGCAGACTCACACCTGGCGGGAGTTTATAGCAGAAGTCGGCAGGGATCTTGAAGTATTTGGTCAAGCATCCCGGTGTGTCCGGTGGACACGCGGCAAATTTCATGCGCGGGCAAAGATTGTATAGGCCTTCCTTGCACCTTTCACAGGAACGACAGGGTTGACCGGGCTCGATGGCGACGTTGTCACCTGGCCTCAAGTGCGTAACAGCAGAGCCGACCGCATGTACCGCTACAGGCTGATATTAGCTCGTATCACCCAGGTCAGAGTCAAGATGCCACTAATGGTGTATTCTCTGGACGGGAAAAGCGACTGACTCCCTGATGCCTCATGTCCCATCACCAAGGGGTTTGATTCTGATACAAACTTCCCGTTAACGCCGCCGTGATTCCAGAAATGCACCTGATGACTGTCAGATTGGTGTTCGTGAGCAGCACCCAGCCAAACGACATACATCACTCCCACATACGCCAACAAACTTGATCCGAATTATTGCGTCCGTGGCATCCGTAATCCTTGGCTCTGGTCTGTCCTGGATCTTTGCTTTCCCAGGGCCATACAGAAACACTGAAGGATTCTTATAGGTCAGTAAAAACAGGTCATGCTCGGTGTCAAAATATCCACTTACAGAGAAAGCCATCAAAAGCTAAAGCAAGACAATGGCCTTGAGACTCGTGTGTTGAGAAGCGGCGGTCGAGGAAGTCCACAAGTCGTCTCGACACACGGGAAGCAATATCTGCAATGGGAGTCGCGTGATCTTATACGCTTGAATCAATCATGGTCGTCTACTGGGCCACGTAGAAGCAGCATCTGCATGGTTGCAAATGGATGGATACCAAGCAACCAAAATATCGACATGCATTGGGCCGAGTATCGCAGGTGTCCGCCGAGGGGCGGAGGAAGCCCCGGGCGGAGCAGTCGGCCCATGTCTCGCCGATGATACTTCTTTCACCAGTCCAAATAATCATTCAGTACCAGGGATTCTCTCTCTTCATCTTGTGTCTGATATTGTACATCGAAAAGGACAGCACGGGCAAACATGAGCAGTGAATCTCCTGAAACTTCTGTGTCAGAACAGAGAAGCTCCACAGTGTGAACAACCTCCCTCTCCACCACCTCCTTTCGCTGTCAATGACGTCTAATTGGGTCTATACAGGTGCCATCTCTGTCGCCAGAGGAAGACGAAATGTGATAGACGACTCCCACACTGTTCCTTCTGCGTCAAAGCAAAGGTCCGCTGCCAATATGTGACCAAGACGAAGAAACGTGGTCTGCGCGCTGGCTACGTGTCGCAACTCGAGAATCGCATTGGTAATCATTTCTATCCTTCGGGACGAAGATATGGTCTGACTCTTCTACCAGAATCTCTGGAACAAGAGGTAGAGAGGTTCAAGCACGAACGGACGACGTCCTCGACGGCGACGGCGACACCAAATCCACTCCTCAGCCCTCCTCTTGCAGCGACAGCCACCGCCCAACCGATTGACTTGTCCCCGTCCCAAAATTCCATCTCTAATACCCCATCCGTCTCCCATGTGCAGCCTCTGAAATCCAAAGGTCCACAGGCAGAATCAGACGTTGCAGTCGCAGACTTGATGACTCTGTCACATGCATATTTGCATACCTTGGCCGACTCGTGGTTCAAGGAAACCCAGCCATGGTACCCTATCTTGAGCCGGCAACATATTCAGAGTGCCCTTGACGCTCTTCCTCTACCGCTGTCACACATAGACGACGTGGTGCTCAAGGCCGTGATTGCACTTCAGATAGCATACTCGAGTCAGGCCATCTGTTTAGGATATCATGGGAGACATCGGCTTTCACAGTACCTCAGGTCGCAGGTCGTGAACGAGGCATTCTCCAAGGCGTCATTGAAATCAGTCCAAGCACTCTTGATTATTGCCATTCTGGACTATGGCTCGGACAACATCCCCAGCACATTCAGCCTCCTCGCCGTCTGCCGTCGGATGTGCGAAAACATTGGCCTGTTCCGCAAATTGTTGAACCAGATGCAGCTGCAGAGCCCGGCACAAGTCGGCCCTCCGGCAATCGGCAGCAATACTGGAGATGAACTGGCGATTCCTTTGACCTGGGCCTCGCTTGCCATGGATGCTGTTTCGACCTTGGGCATCTCGTGGCGTGACGTGTCGGCTGCGGTGATGGACCACCTGTCCAGTGTGGCGTATGTGAGCACGCCGGACCTGAGGGACAGCTTCCGCAGCCACACCCATCTTGCCGCGATCGGACTGCAACCTCTCCACAACTTCTTATACGACCATGAGCAAGGGAGATATGAGCAAGCACAGGGCCAGGCATTTGCCACGTGTGATGAGATCTACCACAATCTCATGAACTATGTTCATGCTCAACCAACCACCAGCTATACGTTGTTGGCAGATGGGCTGATTGATTTTGACCCCAACCTCGTCCTCACCAGCATCTTGTCCCACGCGAGCGTTGTCATCCTTTATGCGCGCCTCATCGAAGTGGATGGATCGTCATGCAACGAGATCCCGCTCCAGAGATGCCACAAAGCATGCGAAGACATAGCGCTAGCTTTGCGCAGTATCAGTGACGCAGACGCCGAGCTCAGCACGCCGTTACTGGGGACCATGCTCTTCGTCGCGGCGCGGTTCAAGCTGCTGATCTATCGCAAGATGAACCAGCAGCGGGAACCCATCTTTGACACATTGATGCACGGGATTAGCATGTGCGGGCGTCGATGGGCCGTGGCCCGTCGGCAGGACATTGTTCTCCGTGCGGCCATTGTCGAGGTCGACACGGGCAACGACTCGTCACTGCCCGCGATCTTTTGGAACGTGAAGAAGAGCCACTTGGACATATCTGAGGAGCTGAAGGAGTGGATCGAGGACCGCAAGCAGTCACTGTACATAGGCTCTCTGAATGGGCCATACGTATGACAGACACAGCCCGAGTGGTGTTTGGCCCATCAACAGGGCACAATCGATGTCAAATCATGAACAACGATGATATGCTGGTCCGTTTGCAAAGTATTGCATTCGCCTCCCTTTGCCTTAGGGGTTAACAACCCCGCCGAGGGTCAGAGTTTTTCTCTTTGAGTATTCCCTGGGATGGAGAAGGAGTTGTATCGCGGCCACAAGTTCTATATGAAACACCGATCATGAACACTCAACCTTCTAAGCGTGTATAGACTGTATGACAAGGTCGAATATAGGTCGAAAATGAGCGAAATCCCAAGGAGTCATTGTTGTGATGCCGAACCTTGTCAGTTTCATGTCCAGTGAGAGGCGCCAGTTGATGTTCTGAGTCCGCATAATCTCTTACAGCATCCACATTCACCGTGTCCGTCGTTGGATCCTTCCAGAAATAATCCAACAGCGCCAAAGCCACGTGTGTACCTATGGATCCAATGGCTGAACCAGGTACCGGGGCAAATCCTAGGACTCCCAAAGCCACACTGATGCCCAAAGCGACCTTGTAATGCTTGCGTATGTCGTTAGCCGCTAACGAGTCAACATATTCAGCAGTCCAGCAAGGAGCAGGCCACTCGTAATGGTTACAACACGCAACGGGCTATCCTTTTCTTCGGAGACATTTTCACAATTTTGTCATTGAGGTCTAGGAATTCATTCCTCAACGACTTCAAGAATCTCTGCTTCGTTGAAGGTGCCTAAATGCTGGAATGGTACTGACCGAATTGAATTGATGGATCTTTGCCACAACAAGGTATCTCGTGTTCCACGGAGAGCGAATAGCGAAACGACCAGCACGCCCTATTTCTTGTAATCCGGGAGGGACGACAAAATCGGAGGGTTTTGAGATTTGTTGCCTAGGATACTTCTCGTATTTTAGCTCAGTGAAGCTTAGGGAGCTAGAGCCTACTTGGTACGATTATACGTGGAACGGTTGATTTCGTATGTGGGAGATGGCATGGAAGGCTTGTTCCCCAGAGTCAGTTGTCTTCTCCTCTACCAACATGATTTTTCGGAAGCAGGGACTGAAGACTGCGAGGGCATCGTCAGTTATTGAATCAATATTATGGCACTGTCCGTAGTTACTTTTGTACTCTTGTGTGACCTTGTGCTGAAGACAGGCGACTAGACGCCGCTGAGGTAAGGAATTTAGGTCGTGCGAGTAAGGGCCGAGATCAATCTTCACCAATAAGTCTGTGTCGAGCTTTATACGAAATGAAGGACAGTTACCAAGACCCGTAAAGAAAGAGAAAAAACTTGGTTCATCGACACATTCATCCCCGTCAAAATGGCACCCATCGTATATCTCAATCTTAATGGCCACGTCCCAATTTCATACCAGCAGTATAACTGCTCTCATTCCGGCCAACGAACGGCTGTCACAATTGAGAAGAGAGACTGAGTTCTGCACGCCTCTGCACGGTTCACATTGCACGTAGAGCCATATCCATGGCGGATTGATTTTGCAAACCTGACCTTCCCTCATTGCATCTGAACTGATTCTGTGGTAGGGGGACCCAGCGCGGGATAGATTCAGGCCCGCTTCCTTAAGACGATCCAGCGAAGATACTCCCATGCTTCCCACGAGTGGCACGACTTCGAGCCCAATGCTCCCGAGCCACACGCATATTTGGTGAGAGAATCATCCGGATATCAGAGAGCAGGAGAAATTCAGCTAGGATAGGATTCAGCAGGCAATTTTCGGATTGCGGCAGCAATTATATGTTTATAAGTACACACACATCGAGAGCCCCTTGCCCGAGGTGTTGCATAGACCGGTACATAGGCCGGTGCACTGGCTTTCGAATACGGCATGAGTTCATTTTCATATGCAGAAGCTATCCACGCTAGCCTGCTACCGGGAGCGTCTGCAATCACCCCGGTCAAAAGCCATGTCAGGATTTCGTGTCTGTTTATACAAAAGTGTGTTTTTGCTTTGCTTTGCTGGGCGTGTCGTCGTTGAGATTGTTAGTTCAGCCCTTCTCGATTGCAAAGTTCACGGCGACAGGTCGCTTCGGTCGAGCTGTGAGGTTGGCCGCGTCCTTGAACGAGATGAAACCCGCGTCTCTGGAGGCCGCGAGAAGAGAGATGCTGCTGAACCCGTCTCTGACTGGGCTGGTGTGGAGCATGCACCCTTTAATGGCCACACAGATGAACGATAGGAGCGGATTGACTGCCAACAGCAGGATCAGTAGCGGGTGTCTCCTCAGGGTCGGCACCGTCTTGATGGTTACAATGTCCGCTTCATCCTTGTCGTAGCCGGTCAATGTTCGGATTTCCGCGTTTTGTATCCCCTGGGGACGGACAATGGTGTTAAGACTGGATATTCGAGCCCACGCCATTGCCGCCGCCAGAGCCGGCACGGTGTTGACAGGCTGCGCGAACACAGGATCGCTATCCGAAGAGATGGGGTATGGGTAGTCGAAGGCCCCGGCTCGGTTGTGCCAGTCATACTCGCCAAGGAAATTGCTGAATGCTTCTTGGAGGCCGATGGCGTTGTTCTGAATCACGGTCTGGTTCACCACCGTGCCGGTCTTGATGAGTTTTGCGCCGGTCAGCGTAATGTTGGAGGGAGAAATGACCCACGTAACGTTGGCGATGCGACGCGTCTGCTCGGTGCGAATGGCTTCAGACTCGAAGGTTTCGTTGCTCGTCGTGTTCCAAGCCGAGAAGTACATGGTCGTGAAATTGGTCAGAAAGTTACCACTCATGCCAGCCCAGAGCGCATTGTTGGCACCGCGGACATTGCCACCATTAATGGTGTATTCGTGACCGAACTGCTCGGCCACATCAGACCAGAAAGTCTCGTTGTTCCTATCCTCGTCTGAAATCTCATTGATCTCCGACACGGTGGCATTGACGGTCGTCGACATTGTCAGCGTCTCCCCGTTCTTGAGCCTGCTCTGGACATCTGTCAGGTAGGAAGGGAAGGGCGAGTCTACCATGGCGGCTGTCTTGTTGTCGCCCGCGATGAACAAGTTGAATCCATACGTTCGATTCAATCCCGGGTCGGTCCAGAACGGCACGTAAACCTGTGACAGCAGTGAGAGACCATCCCCAATCCGCTGCATGCCAGGTGGCGCCGCGAACCCGAAGAATCCAGGACCTTCGTGGACAAGAATCGTGCTGCTCCCACCAATGAATTGTTTGTATCCGACGCTGAGCAGCAATGGCAGACCAAATATAATCAACAATAGCACGCGATATACCCAGTCGACGTGGTCCGCAAATGGATCCTTGCGCATCAATGCGTCAAGGTCCTGCAGCGTGGTTCCCTGGCGCTTTCCGCATGCCATGAGTGCCGTGCGAAGAATTTGGCCTTCAAGACACATGCCCATTACAGCAACGAGAAAACCGATCAGCACGAGCTGATTGATCTGGCCCAGGCAGATGGCGAGGGGCGTGTAGAAGACTGTCAGGAGGGAGAGGATGAAGCACAGGAGCATAGCCAGGCTGAGGTAGACATCTTTGGACGGGAGGCGCGGGTTACGGTGTTGGGTTTTGGCTCCACCTTGCTCTGCATCCTTGGTTGAAAGCAAAGGTGATTTGTCCAAGGGCAGTCTGGGCAATGTTTTGTTGTTGATTTGACTGTTGTTCAGCGACATCCAAGCGATCGAGATACTGGATGTGTACTGGATGTTGTTGTTTGCAAGGAGGCCTGCTGTTGTAGGGAGTAGTTATGGATTGCTCCGTCTGTCTGTATACAGCCATCTTGGAGGGGACTTCTTGATGTATATGCGAACGCCACCGCAATTAGAAGCAATCTGCCGAGTTCTGATACAGGATCCCTGGCCTAGCGACGGCCATGCTCTGTCTCAGGAAACGCCCCTGCATGACTTTCTGGGGTATGTTGTTCGAGTTGAACAAGGCCGGTGCCCATCCACGCACGGCAAAATAAATTGTCAATCCTGTTGCGCAGAACGTCCTTATGCTTCAACGCGTCGTCAGTGAAATTCCAGCATGTTAAACCTACCAGCAAAGGACATTTGTTGCTCTAGAGCATGAAATGACCGGTAAAGAGTGTCGCGCGGGCGTCAATCCGGTCGGCGGCTAAAGCTGGCTGGCTGAAACCGGTTCTGGGGCTAGTGAGGCGTAAAACACAGTGGCGAAAGGGCTCCATATCATCAAAAAGTCCCATGGGTTTTTTGACGACAGAAAAGGGGCCAAATTGTCTGCCTTGGTGGAGGACATGTACAGTAATATCTCGTACTCGGTACGGAGTGGTCGGTAATAAGTCCCGGCGCCTATTTACTCTTGCTAGCCAAGCGCAGCCTTTTGCGGCCAGAGTTGCTTAATTGCTAGGCTGTTATCTAACTTTCTTAGCCATTGTCTGCGGAATTAAGAAGATTACCAGTGCTTCCACCGCTAGCAAGCGACCAGATCGTACCATTCATTCAGCTACTCTATCATCGTCATGTCTTTAACCACAGCCCTTCGACCCGTCGCGCTGCCATTTAGCGCAGGTCCAAGACGGGAGAATGCTTCTACAGACAATGATCCCACCCGACCGTTCCACCACGAAGTCAACTACCTCAACCTCCATCGCACCCTCATGCGATACCAACATTTGATCCTCCTCACGCCTACCTTTTCTCCCAGTACCAGTAATACCGCAGAATTAACCCCATTGCAAAAGCAAGTCCAGGCTGAGCTGTGGTCCCCGTTGCCATACCATCGCACAAAATGGCTACACAACGTCGAGGGAGCTCGGACGATACTTCTACAACTAGAGCGAAAAGCGCAGAGTATTCGTGTCCAGCGGGCTAAATACGAGGCCGTAAAAGATTTGGCCGAGAAGAGAGCAATTATTAAGAGATTAAGGGGTCGAATAGAGGAGATCGGGAAGGAGGTTGAAATGATGGGCTCGGATGACTGGAAGTCGCCCATTGGCGAAGAAGAGGAAGGAGAAGGGGAAACTCTTTACGATTTTCTGCAGAAGCAGGGGAAATCCCAAGCGACCGACGACGCAGCAAAGGAGAGTGTGCAAGACGCTCGGCTAAGAGAAGGAAAACCCATCGAAAGCGTGGAGGAGGAACGGCCCGCAGCGGTTGTGCAAGACAACAAAGATACAAAAGAAGAGTTCTTTGGGCCATCGAGTCCGCGGCGACGGGGTAAAGGACAAGCTGAAGCCACAAACGAATCTGAGGCGCAGGCGAGCGGCGTCTCAAATCTCGCCGGTACAGAGCGATCACTATTGGATTCTTCGCGCGTCCACGAAGACATTACGGCGTCTCTGGTGAAAATGGCAGCCCAATTGAAACAGGAGCAGAGGAAGCTTCAGTTCTCTCTGGAACAGGACAAGGGTATACTCGGACGCGCAATCGAAGGACTTGATGTCAGTCTGAGCGGGATGGAAGCCGCGAGCAAGAACATGGCATTTCTCAGACGCATGAGCGAGGACGAAGGGTGGTTTGGACGACTCAAGCTGTACGGGATGATCTTTGCGATGTGGGTGGTGGCGTTTCTGCTGGTGTTTGTGTGTCCTAAGCTCCGGTTCGGATGATACACAGCGAGACAGTGCCATGCTTGCACATGCGCCGCAGCACCAGGCAGCCGGCGAGAGAATGACGACAGCCTCGACAAAGCTGGCACCAAGTGCCTGGCGCACACCAATGGAACACACGTTCCTTGCCACGGGAACCTTCTTGAACCTGGGATTGAAATCGGGGGAATCAAATATTCAGATGGAATGCGAGTGGAGGGTACCACTCCACAGTGGTGATGGGCGGGTGGGACAGGGATTGCGTGTTTCTGATGAATCGCATTCTTTGCTGTTCGCCGATTGTCAAATGTGCAAGATTTTGCCAGATCGCCATCTGCTCCACCCGCCTCCCGATGACGTCGATGGCGGACAAAGCATGTGACATGCCCTCCTTTGCCTCGTCCAGCTTCACCTGCCAGACCTGCATCACCATTGAGCTTGCTGAGCCCAGTTTCACCTTTGCGACAAACAGATCTCAGAACCCCGTCGTTGGTCTATAAATTCAGCTCGGATCCTGGTTCATACTTCTCTTCATCTCAGACCACACTTCCACTCAAAGCCACCCCTATCGATACCAGTACCCAACCCCAAACCAATCTCTCTGTACCACCACACTTTTCACCATGTCTGCTAACGACAACACCTCTTCCCTCAAAGCGGCTGTTGACACCGCCACTGGCTATGTCCAGTCTGGTATTGCTGCTGTGACTGGTAGCGCTGGCGACAAGGTGAGCTCCCGTTCACTGTCTTCTCAATACACTGATCACTGCTGACATCACATTCCAGGCCAAAGCCGACGAGTACAAGAACAAGGGCGCTGCCGAATCTGACCTTTCCCACGCGACCGCCAAAGCAGGCCCGTTCGCCATCAGCTCTTCTGGCGCCGCTGCTAAAGACAGTTCCGAACGTACCCAAGGCCAGTGGGACCAAACTATTGGTAGCGCTAAAGAAACCTTCGGCAACCTCGTCGGGAGCGAAGAACTGAAGCAGAAAGGGCGTGAACAAAATCTCCAGGGCCAGGGCCAAGAGGCTAAGGGCCAACTGACCGACCTCGGAAAGGGTGTGAGCGATCGTGTTCAAGGGACTGTCGGCAGCGCCGTGGCGTCTTTGACTGGCGATCGCACGGAGCAAGCCAGGTACAACGAAATGCACGACGAAGGAAAGACCCGACAGCGCGGGGTTGAGTTGGACCTGGATAAACAGGCCGCTGCTCAGCAAAAAATCGATTAAAACTGACGACTGTCGAGGACAAGGAGGCTGCAATACGCGACAGGTACATGATGTCGAGACGACACCCACATGAGCGTTAGCTGATAATGCTGTATGATTAGTTCTAGTGTTATGATACCCCCAGAATTCAGATTCCATCAACAGCTTTTTCATACTTAGATGTCCTCGTTGTACTCCTGCAAGACTCCTGCTTCGTATCCTCCCCGCATTACTTAATCTCTTGGTAGAGGGCGGGAGGGCTTGGCCAATAGAAGACGACCAGCCTCCAACACCGCGATCGCAGTCACCATCCCAAACAACTGGAACCTCTCTCATAGCTGGATGCGACGTCAATGGCAGGCGTGCCTCAAAAGACATTGAATTGGCTTTACGATGTATTGAAACGTGTCAGGGATACCCTCCACCGCGGTCCTTCGAGTCCCTTGGCTAAAGAGCTTGCAGGAATATCACGACCCGAATCGAACTTATTCGGACCTTGCCCATATCCTCGCCCGCAACCCGAGCTTTGCTCCTCGGACAGATGTCTACAGTGCGTTGCATGCCGATCCCGAAGACCTGATAAGACACTGACAGGCAAATACACAGCGTTCGAGAATGGAGCGCCTGCACTCCTCCTGCAGTTCAAGGGCACCATCCCCGTCAACTTTCGGGGAAATACATATCGGTTTCCTATAGCATTATGGGTTCCTCACGCCTACCCTTACGAGGCACCCATGTGCTATGTTGCACCGACGGAGGAGATGATGATTAGACCGGGTCAACATGTCGGGGGAGATGGGAAGATATATCATCCATACCTGGCGCATTGGAGAGAACACTGGGAGGTACGTTCAGATGCAGTAAAGGCAGGATAGTTGGAAAGAGGAGGAGTACCGGAAAAGGTTTGAGGGACTGACGGATTCTTCTGCAGAGATCCAACATCTTGGACTTCTTGTCCATCTTATCTGACATTTTTGCCAAAGAGCCACCGGTCATGTCCAGGTCACCGACACAACAGCAGAGACTGGCAGAGCCCACGCCACCACCAGTGCCGCCTTTACCAAGGGAGATGCAACCGCCATCGCTTTCGAATGCGTCGGTATCAAGTCCTCCTCCACCCGGGCAACAATCAGGTACACACGCTCCACCGCCTCCTCCGCCCAAACATCCTTCTCAAGGCGGCATCCCAACACCCACTCCAACAAGTCCCGGCATCCCCACGACTTCTTCGCGACCCGGACGCTATGACGCTCCGCCTCCTCTGCCGCCTCCGCCACCTCAGGCGCAAGGGCCGGGCCAAAGACCTCAGCAGCCGTACGGAAATGGCAACATCCAACGACCTCCTAGTGGCGCGAATTTCCTGCCTCAACGTTCCAGTAGCCTTCGACAGTCCATGTCACCTCAAACTCCTTACCACCAGCAGCACCAGCACCCGCGAGCTGCATACGAATTACTGCAATCTTCGTACTCACCTCAACCGCCTCCCCCGGGTCAAACGCAGCAATATCCCCCCTCCCAGCCTCCCCCTGTCATGACTTCTGCACAGGGTCAGAGCCCGGGCCAAGCTCCCGATCGAGCCAGGCCACCACCCCCAGATCAATTTAGCCAAATGCCACCAGCAGCATCGGCATCCTTCCAAGGCCAGCCTCGCGAGCGACCTATTTCGCAACAATATCCAGCCTCTTATGCACAGCAATCCCCGCAACAGCCCCATTCACAACCTCAGCAACAATATCAACCAGCCCCTCAACCTCCCGCCCCGAAACCTGCGCCGGCACCAAACCTCCTTGACTCCCCCTTTGACATTCCCTTACCTGCTCCCAACCTTCAGTCGGCGCACAATATTCCTGCCCCTCCGATACCGGTCAACCCCGAAAAAGAAGCTCTCTTAACCCATCTTTCGCACTTGCTCACGACATCCCTACACCAACAAATCTCTCAGAATAACTCCGCTTTGGCCCCACTAGCCTCGCAGTATGCTGCTTTACAATCAACCGCGAGCACACTGACCGGCGAACTAAGCAACTTGAAAGCGTTGCATGCCACGGTGTCCAACAATATTTCCCTGCTCCAGTCTTCGCTGACCAAGGCGGACCAAGCGATAACTTTGGCACACGCTCGCGCAGCCAAGAACGACATTCCGCATGTGGACGAAATGCTGACCGCTCCGACCGTGGTCGCACGCCAATTATACGATTCAGCATGCGAGGAACGAGGGATTGAGGCGGCGATACTGGCCCTCCAGGAAGGATTCGTCAGAGGACGTGTGGGGAGCGAGGTCTGGGCAAGGAGGACCAGGGAATTGGCTAGGGAAGGCTTTAAGCGGCAGTGGATGGTAGAAAAGATCGGGAGGGGAGTGGGATTGGATTTGGAGGCTGGAACATATAGACGCTAATTGGAAGGATTCAACTAACTCCAGCGAAAAGGCCCTGCAATGGCAGGGGTAGTACCGGTCAGGGGACGGACCCGAGCCGGGCGATCTGAAAAATTTCGAGGTCGAGGGGCGAGAGAAAGAACTTCAAGCCTCAGTTTAGATTTGATTAGAAGGGCGCTTGTTTGTGGCTTCAGATCTATGCCTCGCAGTGCATATAGATCTTCGATTGCTCACACACCTGACGACTATTATGTGCCTCATGGGGAGAACGGATCAAGACCCCCGGGACAAGATCATCAATTGAAACATGGATGTGAATGTGAATGGGAACAATGACGCGCTTTCCCACTCTCCTCTGTTTCTCTGCCACTTTTGATCCTACGAGGTCCTCCTAGGTCTTCTACTGGGCCGACGTCGTAGAGCAGGAGCATACCGAGTATTCATAGTGCACGTGATCATAGAGACAGAACTTGCCGCACTAGCCATAGAAGGCTAGGCTCACACAGCTCGCTTGGCATGTGATTCTGTCAAGATGGCGAGAATGGATCATTCTTCCTCCACCATTCTTCTTGCATCCCCCGTCACGTGGCTTCGCATTCTTCAAAACATTAGTCCATGCAGCTTGCAATTAGACACCAACCCCTCACAAGAGTGAGGTCGAATAGTTCGCATGAGAGACCCCGGCAGTATTGGGGCTCACGCTTACGGCTTGATTGGACTATTGTCGTCTTCGGCCTTTCGCCATGGATGTCTGGCCATCGGCAAGCCTGGCAATGGCAACAGGCGCCCTTCGCATTACTCCGCCTTTTGACGAGACTGAACTGTGATGTCGCCTTCTGTTGTGTGGTCTGCACACAGCTCGCCACAGAAGGACGGTCGAGGGTATGAATCGGGCTCAAGCTCAGGCGACTTCGCAGCCACCCTCTCCAGCAATTCGGTTTCCCCTCGATTGCCGTTTAAAGGCGGGCGACCACTCTCCAACTAGCTGCAGGGTGGACACAATTGGCTGAAGCAAAAGTCACAATGGAATAGGCTTGATGATAACTACAGATGGAGATGCATTTCGACGCAGTTTTATCCATGCGAACTCACGGGACCGACTACGTGTGACCAGGAAGATGTTGATGGCGCTGCTCACCTACAATCAGGTATGCATGCCTTCCTGGATGTTGTGTTTCCGTTTGGCATTACTGCAGATTCCGGAGACTTCGTCTACAGCGGCTTCAAAAACGAAACGCGCCCGCGAGGGAGGCATGTGGGTGGATTAACTTGGTCGAAGCAGTCTCAGACTGCAGGTCTCTTACAGCCTGTGGGCGTCTACTGAAACCGGGGCTTTTCCAGGCTAGCCGTGGTTGGTACGGCCCATATCCATCCATTATTCCTTTGGTTTTGAATCAGAATGCATGCTCTGCATCCTGATCAAAGGCGACCCTAAAGTCAAGGATCAGGTCGCTTCTGCCATCAGATAACCCAACCATCACGGCTGCGTGATCTCGGCCGTCGGGACGAATGTTCGCGACGTCTCTTGCTATGCACGAGTTGCTTTCAGACTCGGCTGGTGAAAACTGGCGATTTTCTGGAGGGCAAGGTCCAGGAGATCACTGATCGCACATTGAAAGTCACCCTTCGAAATCGATAAGGTGTGATCCTAGAGACCATTGCTGCATGAGTGGACCTCTTCTGTCATCCCTTTCAGTCGGTGCCTTTTGCACTTGCTACTCAATCAGCCTGCGACTTTCGCCTCACAAACATGCAAAGCATCTAGGGTCATCCTTGCCTAGAACCAGGGCTCAATCACCACGACCTTTCCAATCCCAATATGCTCAGCAGCTCTATCGAGGGCCTCCTTCCAGTCTTCCATAGCGAACGCCTTGACATCCGCAAAGTCTTTTCCTCTCGGGAACAAACCACTCTCTAACATTTTGACAAACAGTACCACGTCCTCTCTCTCGTACATCAGCTTGCCTTTCGAGGCAATGTTGAGAGCCATGACCTTATAATCCATGACATCCTCGACGTATCCCATAATACTGCATCGCCCACCTCGCCGCAGCGCCCGTACCGCGCTCTTCAGATGCGTGGATTGCATGCAAAAGGTGGAGTAAAATCAATCACCGCGTCAATGGTGCCAAAGGCCTGAAGTGCTACCGTGTCGGTCTCCAGATTCCCCGTCAACTTCACAATTTCGATGCATGCGCGAGGAATTCCTCTCTTGATGTGTGCACTCAGTCTAGCCAACTCCTTCTCATTGCGTCTCATTGCTATCACTCGTGCACCCATGGCCACGGCAACTTGAACACCCGCCCCGCCAAAACGACCTGTCGCAGGACTTACCACAACCGTTTCACCGGGCTCCAGCCTGATATCCCTGAACCCTCCATACGCAACAAGCAGGAGGTATAGGTACATCAGATCATTGGTGGCGTATCCCAATTGCCTGCACAGCTTTGTTTCGTCAAGTGGAATGCAGTTCTCCAGAGGTGGCTTGGCGTCCTGGGCGAATACTCCATCGCGCCACACGTTTGTAATCAACTTCTTACTCCGGTCGTTCATGCCTTCGTGGATTGCCGTCACAAACAAGCTATCTGGGTCGTCTCGTGCATGTATCTTGCAGTCAGCGAAAACGAGCTGCCCAGGTTGCACAGCTACCGCATCAGGTCCCACCGCTGCGATGCGTGCGATCGCGCTGATGCCGCCGACGATCGGTTTGGGAAACTATAATGGCGCTGGCCGTTATAAATTTCGCGATGATACGACAGGACTCCAGCCGAAAGAACTTGGACAATGGCGCTTCCTGCATCCAGGCAGGGCATTGGAACCGTTTTGGTTTTGAAGCCAGCTCCAACGGCCTCGAGGACCAAAACCCGATGGTGAGATGGGAGATCTGATGCCATGACTTGTACTGAGCTGGAGATAGGTTGGCTAAGCGGGTGAGTTACAGATGCTTCAAAAGAAGAGAAGGGGACAATCCATCCTTTCTTACGCTTCATCGTTTCAACTTATACCTCTTTGCAATGCCGGCGGAGACGGACTAGTAGGCAGCGGACTTTTGGCAGAATGTCCTCGGGGTATTTGAATGCATGCAAATGATTGGTGCGGGCGGAGTTAAGAGAAGCCTGGGTCGCCTGCCTGGTACTGACTGTGTTTCTTCCACGGCTTTTTCCCTCTTGAAGCCTCGCACATAAGATTTCGGTTGGTTTTGTCGCGACGTCCTGTCCTTCCAGGTGTTTGGTGAGATGACTTCGAACGGGGAAGATTATGCCGCCCAACTTTCCCGCATGCGCGTTCTTGCGAAGAATGCCGGAGGCGCAAAGTCGAAAACAGCCATGCTGTCATTGTACGCTCACTGAAACGCCATGCGTCTATCGGAACGAGCCTGTGTAATCCTCAACACCAATCGCAACATCCCATGCTCAGATGTCAAATGGCTTTTCTTCTCTCACACCCATCCTGACGTTAGAGACCGTACGAGGAGCATGGGCGACCGTAGGATACTGCCAAAATCTGAGCCAGGATCATTATCGACACTCAGCAATGCTCGCGGGGCTGCTAGCATGGAAGAAGAACAGCAGTCTTCAGGTGACCATTCCACGAGCTCATTTTTCCAGAGGAAGCCGAAATCAATGAGCTGAAACGTCGCGTTGAGAGTCTTGAGGACTTGCTTAGTAGGGGTGCACACGGCGCTGAGCAAGCAAATCCTATGTACAGACCAACTCCTTCAGACACTTGCGATCCACCCGATTTAGCCCAGTTGCCGGAGAATAAGTGCCTAGTTTGAACAAGTCTAGGTTATTTGGTCGGAGTCATTGGACAAATACTTTTGCTCTGGAGGTGAGTATGTGCAGGAGCTATTGATTGTGCAATTGATCGATTGTTTCGGCTGACAATCACTAGTTCCAGAGAATAGCAGTTGTTCTAAGCGGTGAGACTGATGGGCGGTTGGTCGACGAACCCACGAAGCACACCCTATCAGAAATCCGTTCTCTGCCTCGTACATGCAAGCTCCTCGCCTCTAGCAGGAAGGCAGTGCAGATTGAAAAGTGCTTCGACCAGAACCTTCCCCGTATGCTGATTGGCAGAGTGGTTGCGACCAAGCTTGCGCAGCTATACGTGTCGCATTTTGAATCGACTTTTCGCATTCTGCACGTTCCGACTTTCTGGAGGGAATTCGAAAGGTTCTGGGCCAGCTCTGCAGAGATCTCAACAGCAATATCTCTACAAATCCACCTTGTCCTGGCCATCGGATCTAGTATCTTCCTGGAGTCATCTTACGACGACCTTATCCCCACGCGCTCGCTAGTCTATCAATGGGCACAGTCCGCATATAATTGGCTATCTGGACCTACTGATAAGGGTCGCCTGAGTATCGACCGACTACAGGTTCAGTGCTTGTTGGTGCTCACTCGCCAAGTGCTTGCCATTGGTGCTGACCTTCTATATATCACTATGGGTCATGTTATTCGTATGGCTATTCAAAGGGGTCTTCACCGAGATCCCAGGCATTTCCACAAGATGACTCCTCTGTAAGTATAACCGACTACTCGTCCGTATCTACACCCTGTGTCATTTTATCGACTGTTCCTCCATGGTAGTCAAAGCGAGATGCGGAGAAGACTCTGGGCCACCATACTGGAGCTTAACCTACAGGCAGCGTTGGACGCAGGCGCATTGCCGAATTTTACACTCCAAGACTTCGATACGGAGTCTCCAGCCAATGTCAACGATTCAGATCTTGACGACCTCGGCAGGGTCATGCGCATTTATCCGCCAAATACAGTCACGAATTGTTCCCTGCTCCAAGCTCTGTTTGCAAGCCTACGCCCAAGATACGAACTCGCCAGGCGTATGAATTGTTTGTCAGCACCGATGTCGTATGAGGAAATCGAAAGAGCAACCTCCGACATCAACGAAGCTTGTCGCAGCTACCGATCACTCATGAAGGGCGATGACACTGCATTGACATTTAAGCAGAATCTTTTAGAGCTACTTCTCAGCCGCGGTCTACTGTGCTTGCATCGACCACTGGCGAGCCGAGCCCGCTCGAACCCTGCATGCTACTTCTCCGAGGAAAGTCAGCCTTGACGCTGCAATGGCTATTCTGTCTCCATTTCAGAACGAAGAGTTCTCTCACCTCGTGAGGGTCGGCGGTGGCGTTTTCAAGTCCCGGCTCATTCATGCGTCTTTGGCTGTGGCGTCCGAACTCTTGAAAGAGATTGAAGAGAATGGAGTAATGATGGAGCCGATAGGCCACAGGAAGACGCTGGTTGACGCGGTCGAAGAGGCCCTCTGTCGGACGGACCGACGCATCCAACTTGGAGAGACCAACGCCGATGTCAAGATGCACATGAAACTGAGCATGGTCATTTGCCGGCGAAAATGAACTTCGTAAGAGGCGAGTTGCCGCGACAAAGATTGGCACAGACCGCCAAAGAAAGCCTGGAAATGTCATTTTCTTGGCTTCAATCACGCGCGTCGCAGAGGGATGAAGAGACACTGGCCTGTCAGGAAGTCGGCTTTCAACAGGACTTCAACCTTGGCTCGGACATGGACTTTGAGGATATCTTTGGAATTATGGCTTTGGCCAAGACGAATCGTTTGGCATGGACCTAACATAACTGCAACCACACGAGTTTAGCGAGATATCAATTCGCAATAACTCACTTGGCCGTGATTCCACGGCTCTGCCAGCTTGCAGTCATCCAGAAACGCGTGGCTTAAAATTCGAAGGAACTCGCCGCGCTTGGACACCTTCCAGCTACGCTATACAAAAAAAATTCGTTTTTAATGTACCGTATGAGCTCATACAATGGACTGTAAGATGGATTTTTGCCATTGGCTTCGGTCAGCCGAAAACTGCTTCTCCGTGTTGGAATAGTTTCTCGACGGCGGCCCAGTCTTTGGCTTTTTGTTTCTCAAAGACCTCTATACCTTGAGTCCCCTGCTGATTCTCTGTCAGATATAATGTACAGTACCCTTCCAGCATTAACCAGGTGTTGTCAGCTTTGAAAGTTGTCGCTTGCGATTCCTCGGGTTTGGGGGGTTTTTCACTCTCAGCTAGCCTGTCAGGGTGGATGGTGTATTCATTGATGTAATACCATGGGCTTCCCAGATCTAAGCGACCTCCAATCATGATGGTGCGGCCATGTAGGTGCTGAACCGCAGTGGTGATCTGCGCTTTCCATTCATATCTATGTGCATTGGTCGAGCCTCTTTGGTTGTTGGAAGTGGCGATGGGAGGGATATTGGTACATTTTGTAAACTTCTCGAGGGCATTTTTGAACATGTTAGATCCATGTCTCCCAAAGGGCACAAAGGTCTTATAGCTAGACGGTAGTTCACACGCAAATAGGAAAAGAAAGGGGGGGGGGGCCAAAAAAGGGGTTGTTGGGGGGATTATTTTTCTGTGAGCAAAAAAATATGTATGGAGTACACATTGTCTATCTATGAATAATAATGATACAAGTCCGTTGTTCCCCAGCCTTCAGTCTAGCCCCATCCCGTCCAGTCTAATCCAGTCCAGCCTTGCTTGTTTTGTCTTGGTATGCATTGTGTATGCTTATGCTGTCGCCGTCTCCATCGCCGTAGCCATCATTGGCCCATCAGCACCGCCGCAGCCGATGCTGGTGCTGCTGTTGCCTCTTTGTTGTGCTGAGTTGAACCCTTTCCCTCAGTCCTCCCGGTTCCCTTTGCATTGTGATTTCCAATTCAACAAAACGTAGGCTTTAAAAAGGCAAAAAGCACAATCTGTCTGTTCCGTCCATCTGGAGCCGCCCTCTCTGCCTGTCTGCCCGCCTGATTGGCCGCCTGTGGAATGCAGAACCGTGAATCACCCACTCGTTGACGCCATTGCTCCGATATTGATATTGACATTGATCTCTGATAATGATGATATCCTCCATCCATTTTTCGTCCGTCCGTTTGTAAGATCGGATGCGTGTAACTTTCGCTTGCGCATCCCTATCTAGGTCTGGTCCGGGTCTGGACCGATGTGCACAATTTTGGTTTTGTTTTGGTTCCTCGTTTTTGGATTCGCCCCCTTTGTTGACATGCCATGCCCCGACATTCAATGATGCCATGCCATATCCTCACGTACGACATGACATGACACGACAGGGGATTACGACGGAGATGCAGACACAGACAACTTTCAGCCGCGCGTTGCCCTCGTGCAGCCTCTTGATTCGCCGCAGTCTAGAGACCAAAATCTCTAGGATCAAAGATCTTTCCTTCGTCGAATGCCGTCGTCCAATCATGCGGGAACCCCGAATCCGCCGCAGCGGGCACGGCTGCTCCTGTCTCCAGAGTTCTATTAGCAGCCATATCGCTGATGTCTGCTACTCCATTTCCAGGTGTGTCTGTCGTGTTGTTGTTATTGCTGGGTGAGGTCATCACGACTCCTTCTGCGTAATTGCCCGCGCCAACTGCTGTGGTCAAAGCCGTACATCCAAGTCCGGCGACGTTTCCGCTCTCATCCTGTGGCACGTCCATGTTCATGTTCAACATTGGGGGCGCTGACACATCCAACTTTATCGTCTCACCAAATGGCCCCTCGAGAGGAGGAAGAACGCCGATGTCTCTGTAGAGGGTTGCGACTGGCGTATCCTCCATGCCATCCCAACTCATGTTTGGATCATAATCCACGACGGCGGCGCCGAGAGAACGAAGCTCGGCCTCCGTGCGACGATTAGTTTCTGCCAGGGTCTCCGAGAGTGTGTTTGGACAAGAGCCAGTAGAAATAGGTTGTTGAGGTGTTGGCAGATGCAATGACATTTCGGCTAAGCTCTGGATTGGTGGTGTTTGCTTCGAAGTCTGCGCGGAAGGCTGAAAATGCGCCCGGATATTGTTAGGTGTCCGGGAGGACCGACCATTAGGCGTCTGAGAACTGCTCCATGGGGAGCCAGGAAGGACAGAACCGCCAGTAACATTTTGGCTTGTTCTCGAAAGGGTTGAGCGACGGCGAGATGCAGGAGTGGGAGTGCCTGGTACTCGTGAGCGGGCGGAGCCTGGGGTGGACCTCATCAACTGCTGTTGCCCATTGAGTGGGAGATGTGGAGTTGCTTGTAGGCCTTGTTGTTGCTGCTGCTGCTGTGCCCTTGACAGTCGAGAGTTTGACAATACCTGAGGTAACTGGCCTTGATCCTGGATTTGACTGTGCATCTGAAGCTGTGCCTGGGCTTGACCTTGGGATTGCCCACGAGCCTGGATATTCCCAGGAGACTGGAGCTGACGCTGGGCCGTCATCCTATCCTGGGATTGCATATGCGAGGCGGATTGGCCCTGGTTGTTGGGAGAGAACAGACTATGGAATCCCGGTCCAGCCTGGGCGATACCGAGTCCTGAAGGCCCAAATGGATCCTGGACACCGTTTGTTTCTATTCCATCTTGAGTCATATGCACCGCCTTGCGCTTTTGCCCAACATTGACATCTTCTTCCGCTTCTCTCTCGAGCGACTTCATTGTACCACTTGGCAAAGGAATGGGAAATTCGTACCCAGTAAATCGGGCAACCATTGACGGTGGTGGCTCTGGATCGGTACGGTCTCGTTCAAGCCACTTGAAATCATGTTTGAAACCGTCATTGAATTGGTTTGCCAAAGTCAAACCGGCCTGTGCGGCTGCTTGCGAAATGTGTTGGAAGTAGGTCTGATGACGCATCTGCTCTTCCCGCGCAATATTTGCAAGAATATCTTGCGCGCCAAGGGTGCCTGTACGGGCACGCTTTGCCGATGGCTGCTCTTCAGATGGCAGACCAGGGTCGAGGAAGCTTCCGCTGCTGCCGCTTCCTATCAGATCGTTCGCGAAAGCCGTCGGGTTGGGTGGTGACTGGTAATGCGCAGATATGGTGCGGCTTGTTTGATCTGCCATGTCTTGCATCGGGCTACTTGTGAGAGTGTGGTGACTGGGAAGGGTAGTCCCCAAGGGGGAAAGAATGTCCACCCAACGGGGTCGGTTAGCCGCTGGGTTGGGCGAGTGAAGAGGATTCATCAAGACATTGTCGCTCGACATTGCTTTCGCTGGCGCGGAAGCAGGATGACCAGGCATCTTGAAGGGACTACCCAGGACCTGCTTGGCAGGTGTATTCTTCCGGACTGGCGAAGACTGGGAAAATGAGCCTGCACCGTTTGGAGGGTGTCCATCATTGCGTTTCATCCCGCGTCGTGATTTGTTTTGAAGTGAGGGCTCGGGATGATGGAAGTCGGCGAATTCTGGTGTGTCTGGGATCTCAATTGGAGACCTGGACATCTTCTTAAGCAGCGTGCGACAAGCAGATCCAGGCGGAGATCCAGGCGTAGTAGGTGAGGTAGACTGCGCAGCAGAGACATTGGTCTTAGGAGTATGATTGGTGTTCTCAGTATCGGCAGCGAGACCAGGAGAGTTCACTAGACTGACCGCAGCGTTGCTAATCGATTCATTGACAGAATTCGAAGTGGCGTTCATGTTATACCAATTGTCGTCGCAACCTTGAGAAGGGCTTGGACCTCTCTCTACGTATATTTGCAACATACTTGCAAATTCCTCATCGGACAACTGGTCAAAGATGGTGTCCGGTTGTAGATCGGGAAGCAAAGAGCTTAAAGTACTTCCCCCTGCACCGTTGGTGACAGTATTCACGTTATCGGTTTCATTTTCCGTGGCAAATTGGTAGAATCGTGAAGCGTCACCGAGTACAAACGGGTCATCCATGTCAGTGAGGCACGAGCTCCGAGTGTTTGGAGCACCTCGAGTTGATGTATTGGCGAGGTACAGGCCAGCCCAAGGAGCATCGAAGCCTGAACCTGGGTTGCTACTCGAAGAAGCATCTGTTGGAGGGTCGAAGTCGAACGCATTGGAGTCGTGAAGTTGCCTTCGTTTCATCCACGCCGTCGCCATGATGGAGATGACGATGGATTAGAGTATTTGTAAACTAACCACACGCAGAGAGCAGGGATAGTACAACATATACGATACAGACGAGACGTGGGATGGAGGGTGAGGGTTTGAAGTTGAAAAGGTGAGAATGAGGTAAGAAGAGAGGAGGTTGGTAAGAACAGTGACAATTGAAAACAGAATTAAACAAATCTTCTCACATGATAGCAGTCACATTGGCGGTGACCTTGGTCGAATTGATTGTCGCCCCTGGGAAGGACAATAGGACAGGCCGGTTATTGAACCATTCTGCCGAACCCCATCTCAATACCCCAGCCCCTTTCCAAGCGGCAGAGGGAATGATTGCAGTGACTTGAGGCTCGACCAGACCCCTCCACAACTGAGATGTGGCGCCAAGGTTGGGAGGAATAGTGAATACTCCAGTGCAGACAAGCAAAGAGAGTCAGGTATTGCATACTTGTCGCTGAAGACCGGGCAAAGGATATGTTGATTTGAGCCAGAGCACCTTGGGCGTCGAGCATATACACCTTGTGAAGCACCTCTGGCTTGTTTCCACGTGCCAACTTGAATCACTTGAACTGGTGGGCACCGGATCCCAGTGGTCAACTCGACCAGTCTGCTGTTTGCAAGGGACTCGCCCTGAATTCATTCCACATCACACTGACTCTGCAAGCTTCTTCCCGCGGCGTCATAAGACGTGAAATATATTCTCATCTTACGGGTTCTCATTCTCTGCGATATTTCAGGAACGAACCTCTCTTTCTCTTCTGGAAGAACACAATACTCTGACGCGTTGGAGGGAAGGAGAGAAGGAGGAAGAGGGTCGTTCCGACCATCCACCATGGTGCCTTTGAACAAGGTCATAGCTTCTCGTCTCATCGAGTTCACAAGCGACAGTGCTGAAAGACACATGGCAGATAATGCACGAGGTCTGCACATGTCCAAAGGAACCTTTGAAGTTAAATGAAGGTTGAGTTGGAGATCAAGACAAAAGATGAAGCTGGCCCGGCAGATCTCCGGACCAAATAGATCGTATCACGTGCATTAGCAAGCCCCCTCGCCCCCTCGCCCTGCGCCCTTTTTTCCATGCAATGTTCTAGAAACGTGACAAGTACTGTATGTCGTATGCAGTGTGATATACACTTCTCTCGTTGTGCCAACAAAATGGATTCGTGTCCAGCACCGCCTGTCTCATGCGACCAAAGACCCTTGGGCAGGCCGCAGATCAATAAGCACAAAGACCACCGCCAGCATCCTCTAGGTCCCAAGCGCCAGCCATTCCCACAATCTGAGGCTCATCCGTATCCAAATTCTCGGCGCGAGTGATTCTGTCCTCAAATGCAATCTCGGCGTCGGCTTCCGTTCGCCGACCTCCCATGAGAAGTTTGCGGGCCCAGGCATCAACAGCGGGCTCTCCAGTCTCGTCTCTCGCTTGCTTCAAGAACGGGATGAGCGCTGTCCCACCCGTCCCACGCATCTTCTTCTTCGCGGCCCCCGCTTCTTCGGGCCGACCATAGCGAATCGCAGCGATTCCCATGCCGCCGCGAGGGACTGGATCAGAGCTGCTCTCTCGCCGTGTCCTTGACAAGCTCCTCGATTCTCGGCTCTTGACGATGATGTACCTCGAAACCATCTGGATATGCTTGTCTCGCAGAGCTCGAAGCATTGCCAGACACGCATCATATGAAACCGTCAGCTGTTGATTCGATTTGTTATACTCGACAAAATCTCGGATATTGGCTACTCCTTCCACCGCCTGCAAGAACCTTCGGTGAGGACCAGGCATATACTGTCTCATCTCGTGGATGAAGTTATGCCGGGGTTTTGGAGCCGCTCCTGGCTCGGCCTCGGATTCGGAAGTCTCGTCCTTTTTGGCCCCAGTAGGTCGGTGCTCAACCCCGAGAACAATGTCGAAGAATTGGATCATGCTACTCTGCGCGTTGGATCCGCCGCCATACTGCCGCCATGTGGAGTGCACGCTGCCATCATCGTAAAAAACACCGCGGGGGAGACCTGCGTCTTTCATGTTTTTGCTTCCGGCCAGAAAGGGTCGTATGCGGTGATAGAAAACGTGAGGATCACAACTGTCGTACATCCTCCCCAGCAAGGTGCCCAATTCGTCCAGCGTTTGGGCGAATGATTGCAAACATTTTGAAACTGTTTCCACATCATTGTCTCGGGCCGCTTGCATCGCTTTCAGCATGAGAGGGATTGACGGGCCTCCCTTTGCCTCCATGGCCACACTGACCAAATAAAACCATTGTTCGTCCAGCGAACCTGTGAAGGTGATCAAGGTGGAAAGATTTTCCAGAGCGAGACTATCGGAGAGGAATAGTGGTTTCCAGTTCCACAGAACCAGCCCGGCGTAGGTGGCGACCGGAGGGAGTTCAAGGTAGTCGGAGACTTGGAGGAGTGGGTAGGTGATGGACGGCGGCAATCTCTGTTGACTCTCGTTAGCAACCTCTCTGTGGTTTGGCCCGCCTCGTATAGACATGCCTCTGCGGGTTTGTCCCCGCCCCAGATGTAGCCATGGGTCAAAAATGCCAGAACAGTGTATGCCCTGCGCCACTCGGCCTCGGTCTCTAGGTGGACTGCGGGGATGACGGGTAATTTGTCGATAACGGCTCTTAATCGTTTTGACAGCAACAGCGACTGGAAGTTGTTTATGATGCGCTCCCACCGGTCGTAGACGGGATGTGGCAGACAATGCAGCGGCAGTTCTGAGGGAAGGAAGCCTCTCTCTGGCGAGATGCCATAGTCTTCGATGCGGGGAATCGGAGGAATCATGGTGGTGCAGAGGACGCTTGGAGTCTAGGGAAGCGTAACGGGTCCTTTAGCGCAAGGCTGTCTCTGCTGCGACTCGATGCCTTGCAGAAAGGGGCGTTTGCTCGTCCGGGTTGGAAAGAGTCGCAGTTTTCAGAGGGGGGAAATTGCCACGAGAAGCCGCAAGAGATCAAGGATAAATAGCACACGAGACCGAAATAGTATTGGTCAGCAGGGAAGGAAAAGGTCACGAGACAGAAGGAAAGAAACGAGAAAGAGGCGCGTAAGAGAAAAGAGTAAAGTAATCTAGACAAGCACTGGGAGAATGGAAATATCGGCGCAGAGGACGAACAAGACAAGCCCACCAGCTCGGGTGCGACGCGGGAACCGCCGGGCCTGGTTGAGAAGCACACAACAACAATGAGGGTGTCTCCTAAACGATTGGGAACACCAAAGGTGATCTCATATCAATGACGAAACAGCAATCCAACCATTTCCTTCTTGACTCGGCAATCGATGGATGTCAAGTCGGTGCCGTCGAGGTGAGAGGTGGAAAAATTATAAACAAGCGAGAAGTGACGACGGCCTCGGAGCTCGGAGCTCGGAAATAGAGTGCAAGTGGAATGAAGGAAGTTTCTTTTTCCGGTTGGAACAGTTGCTAGAAGCGAGCGCATTAACCACTAGGACGGTGTTAGCGGAAGCTAGTCGGCGCACTAAGGAAATTCATCACATTAGCGCATCATGCGTACCACTTGTCTGCACTTGTCCTCAATAATTATGCGCATAACCCCATCACCCCGCACGCACATCCTTCTCGCTTTGTTGCATGAGCTCTGGGCTGCGCTGGGCCACTTGCTGACTAATCATCGACTGCTGGCTCTATGCAGCCTTACTATGAACAAGAGTATTATTTTCTTCGCTCTGCATTGTCCAAATCGGGATTGCTATGCAGCATGCTCTATGGATGACAACTACTCATAATAGTTCTGAACTTTCAACCCCTGAAATTCAAACGCCGTACCCTCTCGCTTGTCAATTACCGTTTTATGATGGACATCCTTGACCCGCGCTCGAACATACTGGGTGCCCGTTGGAGCAGGCTTGTTGGGATCCTTATCCTCCTCCGGAAGGAGACCTAGGCGGTCGAGGAGCGGAGATGGCACTGTTTTCATCAAAGTCTTGTCTCCTGGTCGACTGAAATACAGGAGCCCCAGGCGGGGTGTATTCAGCTGATCTTTAGGAGGGGTGACGACCCGGTGGATGGTTGATTTGATGAAGCCTATCGCACGGGGTCAGTTACGCCTTGTTGGAGATTGAAAGTCCTCTATGATACTTACCATTCGTCAAGAACGTCAGGGTATCAGCAGCATTGCAGGTAATTCCGCCTTCGACAGGCTTGACCCATTTCCAATCTCCTTCTGGAGTTCGGATCTGCAGCCCCGCGATGTGCTGCGAGAAGAGCAGTGTCAAACTACCAAAGTCGGTGTGGCCGCCCTTGGAGTAAGCCTGGGCTTTATCCCATTCCTCCTGAGTTCTGACGTTATAAATCATATAACGAAGATGGTCGTCCGATAGTTCGTCATAGGCATGAGCATCTGCCAGGTAGTCTTCCGGCAGCTCGAGGATGATGGAGATCAGAACAAAAAGCTTGCGAATAACCTTCTCCCAGAGTTCGCGATGGAAATTGCGAATTTCGTCCCAATATTCCTGCGTGATGGCATGTTTTGGCACATCAGCAAGGGCGGGTATGTCCTTGGGGATATTGAGCTGTCCAACAGTAAGTTCAAGTCCGAGTCAGAGGTTATGGGCGTCTTCCCACCATCTCAATGTTTTCTTTGACGCCGGTGTCACCAATCCACCGTGAGTTTTCGCGATATCCAAAATACTCGCCTTCAGCAAAGTTGCAAGGAAAGAAGCGCTTCTCCTCCAGTGGCTGCTTGAAGAAAGTGTTCCCAATGCTGAATTGACGGAGGACTTTCTTGTCGTCAATACCAGTATTGATCACGACCCAGAACCCAACTCGGGTCAGGGCGTCATAAAGCTGCTTTGCGAGTTCTTGCTTGCCGCCTGGCTCGTCGAAGCGCGAAAGATCAATCGTTGTCAAAGGCGCCCAGTCGAGTTTCTCAGTGGTCTCGGCCGGCCGTGCCCATGGTTTCACAAGAATACGCTTTGTAACATCATTCTGACTTGTCGGTTCCCCGATTGCCGAGGGAGCCATCTCGCTCAATATACACACGTCCCGAGTCCCAGGATACAAATAGGCAGGGCGCAGTCGAACAAGGAGACACGAGCAGATAACACGCAGATACCTGACCGCGGATATGGAGTGACAATAGACATTTACCTGGCTGAAGGACTGCGGGGTTGTTATCAAACTCCTCGCCATGTTCGGTTCGTACTCTTGATGTAGCTGTTGCATCCAATTACTAACCAAGTATACATGCAGATTGCGTGCTTTTGTACTAAGGCGACGTGCTTTTTGCTTTCCCAACTCCGACCTTCTGTTACACTATGTCTCTTCGGTAGATCACCGCAACATATAAATACAATCTGCTAAAAACGTGAGAAAACGTGAGAAAACGCTTTGTTATCAAATGGTTATGTCCGTACTGACTGTTCTAGACCTTAAGCGAGTACAGCGAGCGATGTGTCGCCATCGCCCTTATCATGGCGGCATATAGCACCAATCGTTGATGCAAAAAGGCGTATGACGGCTTTGCTACTGCGATGGAAAATGCTCGGTGGCACGGACGGCCACGAGATGTTGACGTCTTCTGAAGTGCCCATGTCGTGATGAAGGACTGCGACCGAGACCAGTCTATACAGAATGGTTTGATGAAGCCTCAACTCCTTATTTAAGTCGTCCCACTGGGGGTCTGCAACAGGGAGAATTCCGACAGGATCATCTTTATATCTCTGTCTACCATCAGAGATTGAAGATGACTGCCAACAATAAGACCCCAGGTGATACATACACCCACGTCGTCGCCGAATCACCTTCTAGTGAAAGCGACATTGTGCTCGAAGAAGGGGACAAAGCTTTTGAGAAGAAGGTCCTGCGCAAGGTCGACCTCTGGCTGGTGGGGTTCTACTCATTGGTTTACATCTTTCGAGTCATTGATTCATCCAACTACTCGAACGCAGCCATCATCAACCTTGAACGTGGAACCGGCATCAAGAAGCAACTTCACCTTGATCCGTCTCAATGGGCATGGACCCTCTCCATCTTCTCTTACAGCTACATGATCTTTGAGCCGACCAATACTGTTCTCCTCAAGACATTCCGCCCTCGAATATGGATGTTTGTGCTGATACTTAGCTGGGGCATCTGCGCCTGTTGTGTCGCCGCTGTACAAAATTTCCAGGGCATGATGTGTGCTCGCTTCGCAATCGGCATGGCAGAGGCAGGGTTCTATCCCGCAGTGCTCTTCCACATGGACTTCTGGTATCGACCTACCGAACTCCCATGGCGCATTGCCTTCTTCTACTCGGTGGGGCAACTATCCAGTGCTTTGAGCGGCCTTTTGGCATATGCCATCAGCTTCATGGACGGCCTGGGAGGCCTTCCTGGATGGAGATGGCTCTTTCTGCTGGAAGGACTCCCGGCAATCATCCTCGCCTTTGTCGCTCTTTTCGGACTCCCGGATTATCCTCAAACGGCGCGGATGCTAAATGAGAAGGAACGCTTGTTCATCGAACGACGTCTGGCGCCCACAGCGCCGTCGGGCAAACGCCAGCATTGGGACTGGTCCTCTCTTAAGCGGCTCTTCGCAGATCCTACCGTCTACACCTTTGGGCTCTACTGGATCGCTCATGGCATAGGGGGCTTTGGTGTCTCGTACGCCTTACCAACTGTGATTTACCAGCTCGGGTTCACGGGGACTGCAAACTCGCAGCTGATGAATATCGTATGGCAAAAGTCTGCTTCCCGAGACCTAGAAGCTGCTGACCTGTTCGAAACAGCCACCCTACGTTTGCTGCTTCTTGTTCCTCAACACGGCCGGCTATCTGATTCATCGGAAATGGATTCGGCCCTGGACATGCGCCGTCGCAAGTGAGCATTCCGTCTTTTCTTCTCTAAGCCCTGTCTGCTTCCCTCTCTGTACTGACTCAACTGTCCAGTCGAAAGCACCACAATCGTCTGTTACATCATTCTCGTCACCGTCCACAGTGCGACGGTCAAGTATATCGCGCTCATCGTTGCCGTCTCGTGCGCTGGCTCCGCATACCCGGTCATCTGGCCCGAGCGGATTCGAGCGCTCCAAGGCACCGTCGCCGCTGGTATCGGGATCGGCTTGACAAACGCGTGTGCGCAGTGGAGTGGGATCGTCGGGCCGCACGTGTACTCGACCGTCTTTGGCCCAACCTATCACAAGTCCTATGTCATCTGCCTGTCCATCCTCATCGTGTCCATCATGTCGATTCTCACTTCGTGGTTCCTTATTGCTCGCAGAGACAGAAAGTGGGCACAGAGTTGAGAACGATAGAGGAGACCAACGGCTCGCATGGAATTGAGAAGCTTCCTGCATAGCATCACGCGAATACGAGAATAGTTGCGCATGGCGGAGGCTTCGATAATGCTGTTCAAAGTCGGATTCGAGATCAAGGTTCCAGCCAGGACGCACTAAGCTCCAGCCATCATCCCCAAGCCGAAGTAAATCAGAGGCTTTCGGCAAACGAGCTGCTTTTCTTGGGTTCAGCAGAAGATATCAGCGTTGTGTGATCTACTTGTACCATCGAAGCCGCCGTCTCGAGCTCGGCCATCCTGACATCTCTTCCTTCCCTCCAACGCTTCTTTCGAGTGAACATTGTAATCTCGTTGCAGCACGGCTGGGATAAAATCTGCTCTTGACGAAACCCAAGAGGACTTGTCTGGCACATTTCAGTACGAGTAGCTGAATGGCAGTGATCGGGAGTGCCACCGATGTTATCCAGACAGTTTGCAGTCATCGGCACAAGACAGGTCGGATCTCATCTATACCAATGTCGGAGGCATGCATGTCTCTAACATGGACCTCTGACGTATTACTGCAGGCCATATACGCTCTGGCCCTACTGTCTCTGAATTCAAGCCTGTCTATGCCCATTTGCCCAAGACACTCATTCCAATGAACCCTGCCAGCAGACTTGCGAGGCCCAGGCAAATCTTGCTATAGCTCGCATTTCTGGCCGTCATCTCTCCCCCATCGATGATCCAATCTCTGGCCCACATGTCCACGAGACCAACCCAGACCAGTATGCCCGCGGAAAGTGCATCCAGTGTTCCGATGGTAAGGATAGTATCCCTGTCATTGCCATTGAATCGGTGTATGACCCCAAGACCGATCGCCATGCCTAGCGGCGTAATCAGGGCGAAAGCCATGGCCATTGGAAACGTTGTGCGCCAGAACGAGACCGCCTTTTTTGAGAGTAATGCAATTCGCGCACCAAGAGCAAGGCCTTCGAAGAACTGGTGAAAGACAATGACTACAAGTAAAGTTTTGTAGAATGAGTCCCCGGCAACAACGAGCGTCAACCCGATCAAAATGCTGTGGAAGAGTATTCCGGCTTCCATGACAATGACCGACAACTTTGAGTTTGGGTTTGTAGGATCAAAGGGTGAACCATGGTTGTGACCAAGATTTGCCAAGCTATGCGAATCTCTGGTAGTCGCGCGCGCATCGTTCGTTGCAGCTGATTCCGGGATCAACTGGTTCTCCTTCGTAGTCGCGAAAGTAGTGGCATGTGTGGCTGGAGAGCCGTCGTCACCTCGAGTTCTCGCAAGGACGATTCGATGTCCAATGTACTCGAACAGGAACGAGATAAAGATTCCTGCCATAACAATCGCAGATGTCGTAGCCTCGTAATCTAACAGGCCCAGACACTCGTTGTTGAACATGAGAGAGGCATGGGTGTAAAGCTAGGAACATTGATTAGCTTTTTTACTCTCAATCCAGCATTCTGTGCTTACGTGAACAAAAGCCGTAGAAATGATCACACCAGTTCCAAATTGCTTGATTGTCGTAAATATGAAGGAGTTGACATTTTGAAGCGGGAGGTTGACAAGCAATATAGGTGCAAATACACCCACGGCGCTTGTGAACAGGACAACAAACAAGGTCCCTACACGAAGGCCTATGTTGTAGTCTCGTTTTTGAAGTTCACAGGAAGCAGAATCGGTACTTTCCGAACCGCCAACTGGGACGCAGTGTCTGGGCAATTGTCAGTAAGCGGAGATTCCAAATAAGCGAGAAGCTCGTCGAAGTTACTGACTCGACGCCGGCATGGAAATGACAGTCCATCTCTGCCTCACTTTCAGAAGCGTCATCACCATCACCGGACGAAGTCTCTCCTTCTGTCACAACCAAAACTTCTTCTCCGGCTGGACCGACGCAATACTGTTCGACTCCGTGCCAATGGCAGTCAGTGTATTCAGTCGGTGATTCTCCGGTGGCAGTTGCTGTTCCCGAGATGAGAACCTCTTCACCTGCACCGTTGATGCAGAATCTGTCGAAGTCAGCGATACTGTAAGGGTTCAAGCGGGCAACGTTATACGTTTGACTCGCATGAGTATGACACCCAGTCACAGCCGTGGTCTGGCCGGAAGATGTAGTGGTTGATGCTGAGACTGAGGCGGGTAGAGTTGACGTGGAAAATGTTGTCAAAATCGAAGCTAAGCTGTATGTCACCAGAGGCGTTTCCTCCCCATCCGGGCCATAGCAGTATCTTGAACAACGTCAGCCAAGCGAGACCAACCTCTATCTGAGGTCACATACTCGACGGTTGAGTGGTTATGACAACCTGTGTAGGTTGTCTGCGCAACGGCACCTGAAATGCTTGTAAGTAACAACAGCTGGCTGAGCATCATTGTGTTTGATCAAGACAATGCGGGAATATAATTGACTGCCGTAGATTGGGGATAGTATGAAACAGGTGAGCTCAAGAGACAAAATGCCGGGAGTTCTTCGAGTAAAAACTGTAGAAATTGTTGTTTGCAGATAACTCAATATATCATTGACGTGTGCAGCTGCAACAAGGGTCCGATCTTACATCGACTATCTCGGCAGCGTTGTTGAATTTTTCATTTTTCAGGATGATGAAGTATGGAAATTGAAGGCATCGTGTACCTTTGCCTGGGCATGAGGCCTTGATGCCACCACAAAATTCTGTCAACGACGGCAGCCAAGAAATACAATATGGCCCGCATAGCGGGTCAAGACAACGCTTGAAAGAATAGAAGGCATATTCCGCCATCAAATGGTCAGAAGGATGACAATAACTGGTCCAGCCTCGACAGGCGCGATGGGCTGTTAAGGTCCTCACTTTCGAAGCGGAGCGGATTTTGCTTGGCCTAGCGGATTTTACTTGGCATACAAGACGGCGACATCTCCACAGAAGTTGTCCTCAAGGCTTTGTCGATAGAGAAATGCTGCTGGAGCTCGGAGACCGCTAAAGAAGGAAAGAGGAACACCACATGGCTTCTGTTCGATGACGGAAAGACTGCGATGGGGTGTGGTCCTCAGCTTGGCATTCCGTAAACTCTTCCTCGTCTTTGCCGAATATCCTCTGCTTAATACAAAGTTCGAATGCACTTCGGTCTTTGCTTTTGCCAGAAGAGGGTCCGAAAATTCGGTAGTGTGGAAGAGGTGCGTTGAAACCGGCGAGGGCCTGGGCGTCCATGACGGATCTGCTCCGGCGTCGAGTAGTTACACCCGACAGGGTTGGAAGTAGACTGGTAGGCCGATGTAGAGTATCGCAAGTATAAAGATCTGCTTTATGCCGGTTTCTCTGGCACAGGAAAAGACCACACGAGCATTGCCTTCTGCCCGCAACTTTTAGTGTTACTGCCCCACAATGACTGCTCTTTTCAAGTCTCTTGCTCTCTCCGTGTCTTTGGTTGTCATTGCAGCTTCGGCACCACTCGATGTGCGACAGGTAGCTCCCTTTACCATAACAGCGACCAGTTGGGATGCAGGAGCTGTGACACAGTTCCCTATCCACTCGAGCTGCAATGCCTCTCAGACTCATCAGCTCGCAAACGGCCTCAACGAAACAGTGGCACTAGCTGCGCATGCGGCGGAACATATTCTGCGATGGGGCAACCAATCCGAAATATATCGGAAATACTTTGGTAACCGCCCGCCATACGAGGCCATCGGTGCGTATGAAATCATCGTCAACGGTGACAAGAGCCAAATGCTGTTCCGCTGTGACAACCCCGACGGAAATTGTGACTTGGAAGGTATCTCGTGAAGCGGCCGTATGAATGAATACTGCTGACGGGTTTCAGGCTATGGTGGCCATTGGCGCGGCGAAAATGGAACTGATGAAACTGTCATCTGCGATTTGAGTTATGAGACTCGCCGCTCGCTCAACCAGATGTGCGCGCTTGGGTATAACGTGGCGGAGGGGCCCACGAATACTTTCTGGGCCTCGGATTTGATGCATCGACTGTACCACATGCCAGCAATCGGTGGAGGATACATCGAGCACTTTGCCGAGGACTATGATGAGGCTATCGATCTTGCCAGGGGCAACAATACATTCTCGACCCATGATAGTGATACTCTGCAGCTTTTTGCACTCGAGGTGTATGCATACGATATTGCTGTTCCCGGAAAAGGCTGTCCAGGACAAAGCAGCGATAATGGCGACTCAGCATCGGCCTCGGCTACCCCCAGCGCAACGGTTGCTCCAGCACCTGCATCCACAAGCGGATCGCCAACATTGTCCGAGAGCCCTTCGTCGACATCCAGCCTGCCTGCGGTAAGATGACCATAAGGGTTTGTTCTGCCGAAACGCAAGTATAGCTGACTGATAATTTTCAGAACTGCCACACGCATGAAGGTGGAGACGTTCATTGCACGTAGTTAGTTGATGGTTCCCAGGTCGGATTTCCTGTGAAGGACCAAAGAGTAGTGCAAGGTCAATTAATCCAGAGTTAGATGCGCGTTGAGTCTTGGCAAGTATATAGATCTTGGGCACTACTCACCTAATAATACAGAGTAGGTTGAACCAATCTGGGACCATCAGGTGATTGTTTGACCGAGAAGGAAGAGAAGTTTCATGTGAGAGAAGAGGCATAAATCCTAACCCGTGCCAAGAGTTATCATGCCTAGCCTAATATGGCTAGTCCAACGAGTACATATCGACTGCAAGTACTGGGTATGTACCTCGTGCTCGTACGTCCTCTACGTGACACCCTTGTTTCCCCGATCTACGCAAGCCGTCTATACTTCTCTTCATGCCTGAGGTTGCCCATAAGGACCTTCGCTGTAAACGTGGGCCCTGATTGATGAGATCCGTGACTGAAAAGATATACCGAGGATGGCGACCCCCTTCCTGCATTGTCAGCTTGTTGATCTGCATCGCTTGCGCAGAAACAGTATGGTGTACGAGTGGTTTAACCGCCGGATCATCTTTGGTGCTCATGATCGAAGGGGGCCTGAAGCTCGATGTCGGATATATGTAAGACAAGGTGCAGGTTGTGTACAAGAAAGCGATGATGATACTATCCTAGGGTGCAAACAGCTCGTCGGGGTCTCGCTCTGATAGATCCTACATGGTACGAACACTTCCTCCTAGGACGGTCTCCTGGGCATTTTCCACTGCTGTGACATCCTCGGCCGATCAAAGACGCGGCTTGTCCTGCAGACGGGGAAAATTGAGTATCTTTTGCTCTCAGCGTTTCAAAGAATGCTATATAAAGGTTTGTCTTAACCTTGAAGGCATATATATTGTACTGCCTACTCCCCAGACCAAAAGGATCTAGAACATCATCTCCCTTCTTTTTCTTCCCCCCTGGTCATTTCGATTCGGCTTAGTACTGCAGAAGATTCGCTGCCCTGCTCTTTTAGGATGCTTTCATTTGTGACCTTGCTTGCCCTAAGCTCCGCGACGGCGCTTGCGGCAAGCCTCTCCGTCAGAGCAGCAGCGCCCAAGTACTCGATTGAATGGTCAAATTGCACCGATATCAATCTCCCAAACCTCCAATGCCGAACTATGCAGGTACCGCTCGACTGGTCTGAGCCTGGCAGTGCCAAGATCAGCCTCTTCAAGACCAAGATCATAGCCACCTCGACGGCTAAGGGTTCAGGGAACAAGATTGGCAGTCTGCTTTGGAACCCAGGTGGGCCCGGAGTCACAGCCAGTATAACATGTCAACTAACCGCGGCGGGCCAGATCGAGTACTTCAGTCCTGCCCTCTATGAGTATTTCGACATCGTTTGCCCCAACCCTCGAGGCGTGGGACAGAGCACTCCCGTGAAATGTGATCCCGCCATATCTAATAAGATGCCGCAGCTCTTTGTCGACGATGTCGCTTCGTTCCAGAGACTGGCCGCATGGAATCGAGTCTTCAGCAACCGCTGTCTCAGCATGACGGGAAAGCTGCTCCGACATGTCGACACCACCTCAGCTGCCCACGACCTGGAAGCCATCCGGCTCGCCCTCAATCAGGGTAAAATGAACTGGTTCGGTAATTTGTATAGCTCACAACTCGGCGTGGCGTAGGCGGAGCTCTACCCTGAGAACGTTCGGGCGGTGGTCCTAGATGGCGTGGTCGACCACAGTCTCTCCGAGACTGTGGCGGTGTCAACCGTCGCCACGACGTATGAAGCCGAACTGAACCGCTGGTTCCAATGGTGTCAGGCAAACGCCTCGTGCGCCCTGCACGGACAAGAGAACATCGCGCAAGTGTTCGACAGCCTCGTCGCCCAAGCAAACAAGGCTCCGATCCCAGCCCCGGTCTGCTTGAACACATCAAACACCCTGTCCACGGGCACCCTGCCAGCCCATCGTGACGGGATACGATATGATTTTCAACGCCCAAAGCGTCTACCTTTCCGATCCGCAGCTCACAGGCTAGTTGACTTTCGGCCTCGCACTCAATCAATCCCTGTGCGGCGACGCAACATTGCTTTCCAACACTGTGCAAACCGCTGTCTCCAACGATGCCTTCTCCGGTGTTGGATCGGCTGCCTTCACTGGATGGCCAAGAATACTCTCTTCCCCGAACACCAGGCGCTACAGCAGCTCGGCTCCGTAGTGGCACCCCATACTCTGGGCGCGAATCAATTCTTCCAGTACAGCAGCTGGTGCTTCAACTAGCCGGTGCCGATCGCAAACCCGCCGCATTGGCTGAACGCCTCTCATGTGACGGAGTTGCCACCCGAATCGGTCCTGCTTATCAACGCAGAGTTCGATCCGGAAACCTCGCATGTGTGGGCGCAGGGTCTGAAAGATCAGCTGACGACTTCTGCCGCAAACGGTGATAGTAAAGCGGTGGTGTTGGCGAGAAAAGGCGATGGACACACCAGCTACGCCATACAGGGCCAAGACGCAAGGATCATGGACGCGTTTTGGGTGAATAGAACCGTGCCGGGGAATGGAACTGTGGTTGATTCGTAAAGCAACAGAAGTGAACAACACCAGTAATAACTGCAGCGACTTGCGAGGGTTATTGCTCCATCACGGAACAATCTCTCCTCACCGAAAAGCACAATATCTGCAGGATTCAAGTATGTCCAATCCAATCCATTTCTCACAGATTTACAGTGATTCACGTCTGCTTGCCTATGTCTTTCGGAAAAAAGTGATATACAACGACCTAGTGCTTTAGTCCGAAAGTCTAGTTCAAGCAACTCCTCCATCACCTGCCTCTTCATAGCCACTCCAGTTTAGTCTTAATATCCTTTCGTCAACCGTCCGTCACTTCTCTGCAAAAATCTTCAACTTAAGAGGGGAAAAAAGGGTGCTCTCTCCGGCGTCTCAGAAGGTCCTCGGTACATGGTTCATGAGTACAAGAATATGATGCATGCGACCTGAAAGAAAGTCGCTCTGCCAAAGACAGCGAGGAAGAACCAAGGGCCTCGATCACCGAGAACTCCGTCATCTTCGACCGGGACCGCGTAGGGCAACATGATTTGCTCGGCTCGAAGTGAAATCTGTAATTCGAAGGCCAACCCGCACTTTTGACTGGAAGCGTTGAATTGGCAAATCTTTGCCAAACTTTGATCGAAGAAAGAATCGGTAAACCGTCCCCCTGATAACGCCGGTGGTATATGCAAGTCGTGGGCAAATCGAAGCTGTAACGAGAAAACGCCATAGCAATGCTGATCATCATTATATGAGACCGCACATTCGAAGGTTCTCCTGAATGATGATGTCTATGACCGGTCAGCTCATGTACAATTTGCTGATGAGGGGAGAGCGCTTACCATTGACTGCTCCCATCACGAATCTTATTTGCGTGGTGTCTGTGGCACAGGTAAAGTGAGTGTAGATCTGTTTGGTCTCTGCTTGGTTGAGTGAAACAAATCGATTCAGGATGTAGTCGCAAGCAGCTGCATAATCGGGGCCACCTGGACGTCAATTGTCAGCAAAGGGATACTCGAAACTTCTCGGGTTGTACCAACCTTCGTAGTCAGGGAAGTAATTTTGCATCGGGCTCACGGGCAACTTCTCCTTGAATCTGTCGATTTTATTGAGGAACAAGATGATGCTGGTCTTGATGAACCACCGGGAATTGCAAATGCTGTCGAAAAGTGTGAGGGCCTCTTGCATTCTGTTGACGGTCTCGTCTTCAAAGAGAAGCTGATCGTATTCTGAAATAGCAACCAAGAAGAGAATGGTTGTCACGTTTTCGAAACAGTGGATCCACTTCTTTCGTTCGGATCGCTGTCCACCCACGTCAAACATACGGTACGTAAGGTCTTGGATGATGAAGGTGGTCTCGGTGATACCGGTTGTTTTGACTCGAGATCGAAGGACGTCTTGGTCGTTGGGAAGGTAGTCGTGGGCGGCGATGCGGTCAATGGAATCGAAGTAGCTGGGAGACAAAATCAGCAAAGGCGCTTGCAGAGTATGGGGACTAGAACTCACTAGCGTGCGGAATCATTCAGTTGATACTCTCTTGATCGCTTAAAGCATTCCTGAACACCGGCATCCTGCCACAGGGCCTTGATGGCCGCGCCCACCTCAGGTGGCAGGCTGTCCCCTTCAATCTGGGGCGGTTGCATGAAAATCGTCTGGACATGATATTCAGCTCGCTGGTCGTCCAGAGGCAGCTCGAGAGACTCCATCGCCTCCAGTATGACTCGCATGGACTGAACGGTATTGGAGTAGATGATTTCTTTGAAAGACTCGCGTTCATCGCGCGAATAGCCGCCCTCGTGAATGAGTTTCATCTGCTTTAGGATTGTGGATTTTCCAGATTCACCAGCGCCTGGATCGCGGTTAGACCGTAGCTGAACCCGAAATGATGGAGAATGCGCGTACCAAGCAAGAGCATCTTGATTTCATTGCGCTGGGCCATCTTATCCCTCTTGAGCTGGTTCTCGATCTCATCGTTTCTTGCCTTCCCGGCCGTATCTTCCTTGCTCGCACCACACCCCATGCTTGACAATCTCCAGAAAAGTTCTTGAAGTGAGAGGAGAAGGATAGATTCGGGTGTCTCGAGGCTCCGACTGAAATACACTCAGTTAGTAAACATCCTTTGTCCAAGTAATACAAGGTACAATGCGCATCTGAGATTCTGCCCAAAAATGTATAGGAGAATCACAGTTGCGCGCCATGTAAGCATAGGCGGACCACTCACCTTCGTTTCAAGCTTAGGGAGGTTTGTCAAAATGAGGGTTGGTCACACGAAGGTGACGGAGGTTGCGAAGTAAGGATTTGGGAGTGGTAGGAACCCAAAGGGGATCAGCGCAGGCGAGGACGGGATGGGGAAGAAAGGGCGTCGATCAGTTGAGCTGGGCGTCGGCGGGTGGAAGTCGGGGACAACGATCTCGCTGGTCGAAGCTGGCAGGAAACGAAGCGCTTCGAGACTCAATCTCGCACAAAAAGGGCCCTCTCCCAGCGGATATGGTCCCTCCAGGCACAGGCCAAAGAATAAACGACAATATTGTACAAAAGGGAGGACGGACTGAGGAAAAGAGGTGGTGGTCGGAGTGAAGATGAATCGAAGTGGATGAATTGGAAAAACGGGGATGAATGGAGGATGATCAATCAGGTGCAAGGAGGTGAAAAGGCTAGCGCAGTTTGAATGCAATCAATGAGGATGGGCGAACAAGCGAAGCAGGGAAACCGTAGGGAAAGCAAGCCGCAGCTAGGGTACCTAAGATAGGTAGGGGCACCGGGGGGCAGTAGGGGTCGAGGGGCTGCTTGGTGGCTGCCGGCAAGGGAATCGAGAAAATACCCAGGTATCGGAGAGCTGCTTCACCCACCGCTGCGAGAAGGCGCAATCCTTTGGGTCAACAAGGGACCCTTTTTGCAACAAGCAGTCGTTTGCCGCCTGGGAGCTGGTTGGCTGTTGCGGGTGCTGGGGCCCCCAGTGCAAAGGGCTTCGACGTCGCCGGGGCTAGACTTAGTGTGTTAGTGGCGACCGGCAACGCGCCCCTAGGCACCTTCGGCCTGTCCACTGGGCGCTCGCTGGATGCCCACTAGTGGCTTGTCCCGTCATATTCCCAGAAGAGAAAGGGGAAAAGAGTTTGGAGATGGGGTCTTGTCCCTTGGGCGCCGTGCCTTTGGTTGAATGCATGAAATTCTGCTAATTAACTCCAGTCCCAGTGTTTGACTACGACGTGCTCCTGCGACGGAAGCAAAGAGCTGTGAAAGTCAACTCGTACTGGGTACTCTTCCCACAGTCCACTGTCGGCCTCCCTCAGTTGGATTCAAAGCGCGGGTCACACCATCTCAGCACTGGAAAGGTGATGAGTGACGGGCACGCCTTGGCTCTTGTGTCCTTGTCCACCTACACAGGAAGTATCTCTTCATCTCGTCTCCGGGCTTGTCTCTTCTAACATGGTCACTACTTGCTTAGATCACCTTGGGATCGCGCTGCTGTCGTGTCAAGCACCTTTCCCTAATCCACTGAGGCCAACCTCGACCGGCGCCATCAACCCTCACCCACCGCTTGTCTCGCCCATCCTCACTGGCTGCCACCCCTCCATGACCCTGGCCTTTGTACCCAGTAGCCAAGTTGGCTTCGAGCGACACCTGGGATCGCCCACTTGGTTACACCCGCCCAGGCCACTTTCGGATATCCATCGTCTTGTTTTGGCGCAGGGGGCGCCTCCGAGCTTCGGGGTTGACTTCTACTACTCGGTACACACTATTTGCAGATGAAGAATTGCATCGCGACAACTTGTCTCAATCCAGAGGAAGTGGGAAAAAACCTGCCCTTGGCTATACTGGGGCTTTTTGGTGCTAAGCTTGGGGTGATATGACGCTTGTTCTATCGAGCATCTTTACTAAGTAGGTAGGCTCGACTCTTGTCACCCCTTTGTTCGTCGCTTCGGGTTATAGCGCCCTTCTCAAGCAATCTAGTGCGTTCCATAAAAGCCCTGGAAATTGCGACTTTTCTGAGTCTTTACTCAAGCAAGGTTCGCTCTTGTAAGTCCACTGACAGAAAGACCAGAGGCGGTTCTGCGCCCCTAACAAGAGCTCCTCTATCATGTGATGGCTTCCTTTCAAGCCTGGGAGGATTCTCCCCCGAAGCTGACTGAAACTTT